TTGGTGAGTGCGCAAAGTTAATTGCATTCACCTTGTCTGTCGTATTCATGCATGCAAAGATTTATATTTCTTAGGCCGCGTGTACACGATACCAGACAGATTTTCATTTACCAGACAAAAGTTTAAGTATTTGACCACTTATCCGTACAAGTTTTTGTCCGTCACGAAAGCGTACCAGTTTCAAAATGTATCGACCAGACAAATGTTTGTTCGGTACTATGTAAGCGCAAAATCGCAACAAATATTTGTGCGACTACATCTCGGGAAACCTGGAACGTAAACAATGCCCCGAGCAAAGTCTGATCACATCCGAATTCCGCCAAGCAAAGAGCGAATCTATCCAGTACGAAGTATGTCGGAGGTCTATTGTCGTTAGCAGTTCAAATTTTTCGCAAAAAGAATGTATGCTTCGACAGTTGTGAACAATGATAGCGCACAGGCATACCACAGGAATATGCAGACAAATATTCGTCCGACATTGCAATCAGTATACAGGTTTCTATCGAAATAGAATTTGGTCTGGTGCCATGAAAATAGAGTGGAATGGTTTGAACCATGCAAATGGCCCAAAATAATATTTCTTTTCAATCGTATGCTTCCATAAAGTTTTAATTATTATAGGGAATGCATAATGACTAAAATGTTTACATCATTACAAGGACATAATTTACTCATTTGAGCGAGCAAAATAACCGTTGCATTTCATCTGCAACATTGAAAATCATATTTAAAGAGCGCCATGGCGCTCAAATAAGTACGAAATTAGTAAATTACGGTGTCCATACAATACATGCACGAGATAACAAAATGAATAAATAGTACTATAATACAATTTTATCCACGACTTCTTGTGTGCGCCTTGCGGTATTAATCTGTTTGGTTTTTGATATGGAGATATCCAAATAGAGAAGGAATTTTCAAGTAGGCCTATGTTATCTAGCTATTAGCTAAACATAATATGCTAACACCTGAAATTTGAGTTACAGACATCATGAATCATCAAATTCCATCATAAATTGCAGTAGGGATTCACTTCTTATTATGTTGTTATCTATTCCACTTCCCGATCTGAAGCATTCAAAGGAATGTTTAACTTTACAAACTATGTTGTGGAAACACGTATGAGATGAGATTATAATATTCCAAGTGTGAATATTAGGTGAATATGTGTCATATTCACGGCATATTCACGCTTGGAATACTCTGCAATACTATGCCGTATTCACACTAATATTCCACGTCAGAATACTGTTGCAATATGCGTTTTCTTCTAACCCGTATAGACATGTGAATACCTCGGAATACGTCGCTTTTCATGCAGTGGTACAATCATGACCAAATACTTGTGCAATGCAAACACTAATATCTTGTGTCACTAATGTCTAGTCATATACATTATGACTAGATCAAAATACAGCATTGAAAGGGGCTAACCAATTTGGTTAGCAATTTTTCATTACACCTGAGTGGGAGCAACTTTTACTGTAAAGCCTTGGGGGGGTACTTTATTCAATACATGACCAAGAAAGGTTGCATATAGGTGGACTAGCTACTTTGAGAATGCCTAGGAAAGTATGTCCCATTTAATAAATATTGATTTCATTGATCACATTTTGTGTTAACTTTATTATAAAATGACTATTGTATGGATAACAAAATAGACAGATTACAGTATCTAACTGTTAATATAAATAATGCTGTATATGATTTGAAAAACTTTGATATACCTTTTTATTGCTTTCCCTCTGGTTCACTATAGTACGTAATTTTTTGTTCTTATCCACAGTCCTCTTCCAAAGTTTATAATATTTGGATGCCACGTCTCGTTGCTGGTTGGCTTCAGCCCGGATATCACAAAGGGCATTTTTTATGAGCGTCGCACGCTTCAACTCCGTTTTCTGAAATCTTTTTCTCTTCTTTCTAGCATTGCGCATCTTCCTTTTCTCCTCGATCGTATGCCGCATAGTGATATATAACAAAATATTCGGATACCTATAGGTCTTGTTCAGAAATACACGACAGAGTGATAGCTTCGCGCGCAAACTGCAAATATTCGCGCTCCATTTTCTATATCCTTGATTTTCCCTATATGGACGTGTTTTCCATATAAGGATCATGCGTTTCTATGGTTACCTTAGCAACGCATGGAACTTAAAATGTATTTCAAATTTAAAGGGAGTTCGTTACAAGCCATACGAATGGAATTCGAGTTTTATATCCTTGTAAAAGTGTTTGAATATATTCATGGATACATCATTCTTTCTCTATAAACTTTACATGTACTTCTTTCGATAATGGTATGGTTAAAAGTTAAGGTGAGTGTAATTTTTACATACAATTTAATACTACAGGCCTCATATATTTTATTATTTTTATATACATATTTACAGATCTATTATCTATATGAGATATATACCCCAGTATAAATAACAAGGCCCAAACTATACTTAAATTGTTCTCGTTTTATCTCAAGTTTATTGAATTAACTAAAGTATTAATAATAATCAACAACGACCACCAGGAAATGTTATCTAGTCGGGCTTTGGTGATAATATATTATAACGAAGTGGCTATTCGTACTGGAACATGTTATCGAACAACAAATTATTAGATTAATTGTCTTGTAGTCTTTGTTGAGCATTTATTATAAACACTTCAGTTTTAGTCGATTTAGGTTCATCAGATATACAATGGTTATGCATGTATATATTAATATATTAGATTTGTACTATCTGATTATGTAATATGGTAATTATGATTTATTATTACTCTTTGTTCCTTATTTTGTTAAGAATAGCTTTAGCATACTTTAGTTTGTCTCTAAGAAGTTTGGCATGTGTGCATGTTGCTATGTCCTTCTGAGTTGCAACTCTATTGTGCCTCAGGAAAAATTCTTTTTCCCATTGACCAAGCTCTTGACGAATCTGTTGTTGCTGTTTTGAAACACGTACCTCCATAACTGCAACCAGTTTCATAAACTTGGCAAGGAAGAACTTGTCAGATGGTGACTGCTTGTGTTGCTGCCTGGCTTTATCAAACTGAAGAACTTCATTTGACTGCCCAAGCACAAAGTCAACTGCTCTCCCCAACTTTGTTTTGCATAATTCTCTTGTGCTGCCAGTTTCACTGTTTTCTCCTGCTGTTGTAGAAATGCTGCATGGTGATAATACAACTGGAATGTCAACTTTTGGACAGCTTGTGGAATCTATAATGAAATTTTATGGATGATTTATAATCTTGCTGGTTATCACAATATATTTTTGGAAATGCTGTGCACACAACTTATAATACAAGGTATGTTGTTACTAATTCTTGTCATTTGTGTATATAAATGACCATGTGCATGCATATATTAGCTTTTATGTTCATGCATTCACAAATGACAGTGATAATTAAATATATGCAGTGTTAGGTGAAGCAAAAAATAAATATAAATCTAATTACTGCATCTTAAATCAAAGTAATTTATGAATGCATGGATACTGAAACTTATTATAATCATCATGATTTTAAATCAGATGACCGGTAGTGCATGCATGGTCTGTATATATTTACCTGCAGTTGGCATTGCTGCAAAGCCTTTAGCATTAATACTCTCTGTAATTGTGATGACAGAGTTGAGTGTTGAAGGATTATTCAGCTCATTGCTAGCTTCACTGTCATCGAGCTCACTTGGTGGTAGATCTGAATTATCGTGGGGGTGAACATGGAAACCAACAATTTCTGTGTCAAGTAGCATTTTTTCTGTAGGGTTACATGAAGGTTGTGGTTGTTCCTTATCGTCATCAAGCTGGGTGCTTTTGCTTTTTGTTGTGTCTTCCGGTAGTAGCCTTACAATTTTCATTTGACCACTCCCATCGTCAACCCGAACAACACTTATTGGCAGAGTAACACCATTCTCTAGGCATTCTTTCCAGCACTTTGCAAGGTAGTCTTCCTCAGCTCTGAAGTTACTGGAGCGGAAGTGATGTAGTAAAGGACCTTGTGAATGAGTACTTTCAGCCCCTTCTCCATCTAAGAATTCCACATTGCCATGTTCTTGTTGAACCCACCAACTCCCTTGGCCAGCTAAAAGGAAATCACTAATCCGTTCAAGATGTGCTTGCCATGATCTGATGTGTTTCTCGATAAACTTGCTAGGGATAATGGTATTTCCGTATGCAGGTAGTGATGATGCAAGGTGAGAAACAGATGCTTCTTGCTTAGAATCACAAGACCCTTGAAAAATTTGCATCTCTTTCTCAGCTTGCAATCTAATGAAAATGTTCCCGATGATATGACTTGGATGGTAAGAGGATGTTGACTTTGTGATATTTGTGATGGTGTTAAAGATCCTTTCCTGTTCTTCGACATTGCATGCCTTTCCATTGATTAATCGGTGCTGTATAGCAGCATGGCTAGTGATGTTGTGGTAATAGTTGCCATACAACTTGCGGGTCGTCAATTCTTTAAGCTTAAAGCCAAATATCTCCCTGCACAAGATTGCATGGTACCATGTCATGTTGTGAAGACGTAGGACTGATTTTGGTGTTCGTTCAGCTTCATAACTGTACGCAATTCTCTGGATTTCTACTAAGGTGGACAGTAGTTCCTGGACAAGGTTTGAAGAAATTATCTGTGAGGATTGCTTTGCAAGGATAATAAGTGCACATCTGTAATCGAATGTGCGCTTTGTATCCTTGCCACCAATTGAACATTGCAATACATCTTTCACTGCAGTTGCTTCTTTCTTTGGCAAATGGAATGGAAGTTCTGTTAAAACATTCTCAATATGCTTCCCTATGTCATGCAATGGCTCAAAACTGAGTACTTCATACTTCCCACAGTTGATGGATTCAAGGGTAGATGTTGGGTTGGTATAAAGTAAAGCCGGTACTCTTTGAACGCCGTGCAGTTCCTCTGTTAAAAGCTTCTCAAGGTCTTTCTTGGTTTCCCCCTCATAAATATGCCTGGCATTCAGTTCTCTAATTAGTTCATCTTTCTTCAAATTTTGGAATGGCTTGGAAACTTTTGCCAGAGAATTTTTCCTTCCCAAGGGTCCAGAAAGCACCAGTTGTTGTCGCTCAGTCAAAGACAAGTAGTGACAGGAAAAACAAATATCCAGATCATATGCCTGTTGTGCTTTTGCAGCGCTTCCAGAACAGTAAGAGTTCCCTCCTTTTTGTTGACCGGATTCAAGTTGTCGAGCTGGGCTATCACCATGGAAAAAGCTCATTACATCATTTACATCATTTCCAGCATTTGTTTGCAATTTAACACTGAGATCTTCCAGGCACTCAAGACGTGTGTCAATATAAGTTAGTTGTTCAACGTCTGAACTTCCTGACCTGGCTACTATGTAGACTTCAGGGGTCTCGACTTTTGTTTGAACGTCCACTTTTTTACAGCCTGTAAGGTTTTGGTACTCTGCATTTGTATAGTGCACTGCAGGATCATAAAGGGATGACACCATAAATACCAAATGACCATGGTTTGCAATTGTGGAAAGATCATGCCAAATCTTAATATGCCTTGTCCTTTCAATGTCTTTCAGCCTATTCTGCATTGATTTTAAACTTTCTCCTTCATTGTACTCATCGATTGCCTTCAGCAATGTTGTCACATTTTCATGAGTCATTATGCCATATTCGTCATCAGCACGATGTCGCATGAATTTCTCTTGGTTTTTCAGAGTTCTTTCCCTAATTTCAATCAAGGGCTGCTTCCGTCCTTCCACCACAAACTCGGTTTCAACAATCTCCCCATTGTCATTTAATACCAACTTTTCATACTGAAATTAAAATAAATGATTATGTAGATTGAAGTTCTAAATTTGGTTTCAATAAAGTAAATAATTATAGACAAGTATTTATTTGATTTCCTGCACATCTGAATTACTTATAAGCAGCGAGTGGTAGTTTGACTTAAATATAATAATTCTGAGTAATGATTGATTAATTGTTAATTTTTGTAAGCCTCCTATCTGCATAACTTAGTTGATCACCATGCAGTTCTATACTGTCCGGGACGGCTAAGTTAAATGTTGATTATTCATTACTAACATTGATACTAGCTACAGTATTAGTAAATTTTATATAATATAGTTGTAACATATGTGTGCAGTGTAGATAAGTGCTCACACAATTAAACTGAAATAATGAACAGTAAAGTCAGTGCTTAATAAAAGAAAATATTGTGGCTGTTACCTTTCTTGGTGCAATTTGCTGTCCAACAGAATATTCCCCTGACAAGATTTTTCCTCTCAACTCAGCCTTCACACTGTCAATAGTTTGTGGAGTTGCAACCGTGATTTCTCCCCCTTGTCCCCTGAGTTTCTTCCTCCGGATTCTCTCAGAATTTCCATCGTGTTTTCGCTTAAACCTGGTAATATTGATTCCCTCTGACTTTAACCATTCTTGGGCTATTTGACCCCCATTCTTGGCTAGTTCCCCTTTTGTGTTCTGTATGTTGTGTCTTCGAGCAAGGTCTGACCAGTTAACAACCATGCCATCAGGATAACTTTCCACCTCTTCTTTGATCTTCTCTCTCTCAAATATTTTATTATCCAGCTTTCCAACAGACCTTTTCTTTTTTGTTGTCGTGTTTATCTCGTTTCGTAGACTTTCCAAAGTCCGCGGTTCGTGGTTCCTGGAAGCTACGGACTTTTGTCACCCGCAAGCGCGCCAAAATCACCGGTGCATTTTTGCTCCGGTGACGTCAGTGAATGCTCATTATTATTCTGTACTAACGACGCCATTTTGTAAAATTTATATTTAATATAAACCATTGATAAACAGACTCGCCATCCATTGTGAATATATGGAAAGTCGCATGAACAAAACAATAATGAACAAGACGCTCTATAGAGCGTTAACTGGGGCTATACACCGTACAAACACGCACATAACCGTATATGATTCATACATGCATGCAGTACGTACACAGTTGTTTCACTTAAGATTTATGGTTGTCCCTTGGTTGCCCCGAGCTAAGCGGAACTGTCGAATACGAGTGACAAAGGGTTGAAGATTAAACTTTTCAGTTACAGTTTTGTTTACTCTGTTTTGAACTATATCAACATGTAACAGCGCTCTGTCTATCATGCAACCTACTTTATTATTTTAATGTCTTATATACCAGTCGATTTAAATTTGCTTGTCAAGGGGAGAGTGCTGCCGCTCTCAAATTGGCTAGGTTTGTATTGCAGGTAGGTGGCTCAGTTTTGAAGTTTCTGTTAATATAATGAGCCCAGCTCATGATTTTATACAATCAGACACAGTACCACTGCGGCCTATACAAACAAAACTCCCGGCGTTAGTCCACCGGCTAGGATTTATAAACAGCGCTTTAAAACGTTAAAAATAAAATAGTTTGGGGCCTTTGGGCACAAAATACTATCAAAATGAAGAGAGAAGTGAGACAGATCCACTGGTATACGGCCGAAAAAGAGAAAACCAACGACACCAAAGTTATCAAGGATCAAACGTACTGCATTTTTTATAATTAGTTGAATAATTTTGAGCGATTCGTTCGCAATACAATTTCGCGTGGATTTTACTGTAAAGATAAAGGCCATAAATCGCTAGAATACTGTTGTTTAGTGATACATTTGACATCCGTAAGTACAATTTCTTAGTCGCTGAATCGAACGTTGGTATTTTTATCCTTATTGCGCCATTAGCCATTACAAATACAATATATTTCACACTACAGTTTTCACGTTTCCACAGCTATTAACAACAATTTATAAATAGGGACTGTTGTTGGATAAATTTTATATTGATATGATTTCTCGTAAAGTAGTTATCTAGCCTATTACAGTAAAAGTAAGTTGTGTAGTTTACTGTAAGTTATAATTTTACCTTGAAATTGTCTTTGTCTCGTTTATATTCAGATTCAGTATATTATGATCGTGCACGGGAATTCGACGATCCAAATTTCGGATTTTCAGAGTCGTGCACAAAGAAAAACGCATTAACTAAACTGGCATGAATGTCTAGAGTTAGACAAAATGCAAAATCCATAAAAAACAGCTACAATTCGTTGAAAATTTTAACGAAATTGTTTGAAATATTTTGGCCACTCCACGAAAGGCCCCAGCGTGTCCCAGCGAGTAACTAGTGAAATCGACATGGTGAACGCCCACTATCTCATAATTGATTTTCGCGCCAAATTTTTCAGTAAGATTCAAAATCAGGCAAGTGACACAAGTCGCTCGCTTCCGTCTTTCTCAAGCGCTCCCTTCTTGCTACGCGCGGTCCCCAGCGAGCGACTTGGGCAAGTCTACTCGTTTCGTTGTCTTGAAGCTTCCTTACTTTCAAATGCCATGGCAAGGCGCGATCGCTGTGCAGCTGACAAAGATTGGCGATTTCCATAATACCTAGTAACCCAGCTAACACAATTACGTTTTAAAAACGTCGTGGAAACGTTGGACTTACGTTATATGAACGTTCTGGGACAACGTTGTGACAACGAAAATTTGTAGACAGCAGAAAACGTTATCGCAACGTTGTAGCTAACGTAGCGAGAACGTAACTTGAACGTTGTCAAAACGTTTCTAACACGTTATAAGGACGTCCAATTTTAACTTTGTGAAAATGTGGTAAAAACGTTGTGGGAACGTTATGACTTAACGAAAGCATCAAGGTACGTTTACACACATGATTTGTCGGCCGATTCAGCTTTAACTATATGATATTTGAAAAAAATGGCAGCATTCGTTAAAACCTTAAATTGGCCAGATTATAATCCCTGTGTGTACACGTAGCTTAACACAGCTTAATTGCACCAGAACCATTGCGTACTTTAATATTCTTTCGCGAATTTTCTGACTACGTCGGCAAATTCGAGAAAGGAAATGATTGTTGTGTAATAAACGCGGTTGTTAAGAATATTAAAATAAAGTAAACATAAATTTTTCTAAATATTTATTGACACAAAATGTTAAATGACTTCACATTAACTATTTACATAAACTTTAAGAACTATTAATAAATACATTAGTATATAAGGAAAGAATATGCACAACATTAAAAATTACTTGATCTACCAAATGATCTATCAAATATCATCCTTTTATAGAATCCCGGCAACGTTCTATAACATTCGAAAAAAAAAATTCTATTAATTATGAAATGGGTTTAGCCAATACTGCATTCTGATTGGTTAGCTATACTGGCTATATATCAACATCTAGCTGTAACATTGTGATTTTATGAACTGAAAACTTGATTAGTGATACGGTCCATTAGAAAAAAACTGGAATTGGCTGGGGAAAATGGTATAAAAACTGTTTAAGACCTTCAGAAAATATATAATTTATGTACAGCTCATTCAAAAATAGGTTTTCCTTTGAAAACCTTCAACTCAAAATCTTAAAACTTAAGCAGTATGGCGAAAGCGTCGTTTTTGGGTGTGGTCAGTTTCGGACGTTTCGCCCCGGATTGGGGTTCGGGCAACGTTACCATGCTGACCGTCATGGTCAACTTGCCCAAAACATTTGAGATTATCTGTCCTAAATGAAATGCATACAAACTCATATACAGGTCCTAGACTACTTTAACAAATGCTTTTGCAGGTGCATCACAGACAACACACCGGAGAGAAACTTTAAGAACCTTTGAACCGCAACTTAAGCCTTGCTTTAACACCATATTCAGATCTCTCACAGTGTCATGAAGAAAATCTAAATTCTTAGGTTTTGACTTCCCATATGTTAAAGCAATTGGGAATATTCTAACTGGGGTAAGGTTCATAATACCACAGAGAACTGGCCATAAACTACTTTGTGAACTTTTGAACAAAGGAATGCCATCAAGGTTCAAAGTTATCTCTAAAGTATCAACAGAGTCTTTAACACTGTCTGGATAAGACTGGAAATTCTCCAAGAGTGCCTTTTCCAATGGGAAGTAAACATACTCCATCTCAGACTTATGGCCAATAGAAACAAGCCTTGGTGTAGCCAATAAAGCCCTGGCAGTGCTTGGCAATTCAGAATGGCCAGACTGTTTAAGTAATTTAAGGAGCCCATCAACTGCATTGTGTTTTACTTGAAAGTTATTCACCCAAGTTACTAACTCATCTTTCAAACTGTAATTTTCTAATTGATCAGAATCGTCAGACAAACAAGAATTATCACTGATGCTGTCAGTGCCTGAAACACTGTGGTGAGCAGGTGCGTTTGTGCAAATTTCATCTATGTCAATTGTTTCTTCAATTAATATCACTGTTTCAATAATCAATTTTACAGAAAAACCTTCTTATGAAGTGTAGACCCTAAGCAACCTAAAAATGTCAAATATTCACTTTGATCTATCATTGAAACTTTTGCAAGGGGAGGTGCATGACTTTTTAGGGGAAGTGCAAAAATTCCCAGGGAAGGCGCAAAACAATATCAGGGGAGGTGCGCCCCGCAAAATCCGGCCTTGGTTTGTCTCACATTATGACATCACCCTGTGTATCTATAACTGAACAGACAATGACAAAATCTTAATCTATTTGTTAATTAAACATATATAATTATATAGAGAAATTCAATCTAACCCAACTTACACTAAGCTCTTTAATAAGCATTACAAGTTGCAAACCTACAATTTACCATTTACAATCGAGGCCATATTTCAACTTAATAGGTGGAGAATTTGAAATAAAGTAGAATAAATTACATTTGCATATTTAAGCAGTAGTGCACCTTCCTTTGTTACTTTACTCTTCCTGACACAAAACTTTTTTTACTCTGATCGACACAAAAGACTCATTGCTTTGGGCAATTTGTTATTTGATGCTTGTGATGTTACTCTGAGTGTGTATCCACATCGGGCAAACTTGAAAAATATGCCTGGCCACAGTGGGAATCGAACCACTACAACATTTGGAATACTACCCAATGCTCTGCCAATTGAGCTATGTGATATTTCGGAACAGAATCTAGTTCCTTTGATATCAATGTAGTCTAGTAATCATAATTTTTTCTGTGGTGGTGTAATGTACTCAGGTGAATATGATGCTTGAAAACACATGAAATTGCTTGATGCTTTGTAAACACATGAAATTAAACCTTAATTTTACTCGGCCCCATGCAATCACATATACAAATTTGAATAAAAATCCCAGTATGTATACAAATAAAGTATTCAAATACTGCGGATTCAGGTTGAGTGTTTAATGACGTCACGATTACGTGAACATTGAAACAGAAAAACACCTGTAGGTGTCGACAAGTGACAAATTACTTGTTGCTATGAGAGAATGTCTGTAAACAAACAGTTTTTTAAATGTGGCGTGCAAACGATTATGGTCGATTAGTTATGCCCGAAAACCCTTTATCCGAAGACTAAGGTTGTTAACAAAAGGAAATATTATTAGCAATGGATGTGATCCCAAAACAGGAGTTTTTCCTGGAAAATTCATAGAAGTAGACGTCCCATTGGGATATCGTCAGCCATTGTATCAAAAATTTGGAAATGTTTATACTGCAGAGATAAAATAGTTTCTCCTAAGCCAAATGCGGATAACAATGGTCTTCTTGCCTGTGTTTAATAATCTCATTATTTGAAATTTAAAATACTTCGATGATAAGTCAATTTCTACACACGAGAAAAGATCATCATATGTTAAAGATAGCAAGTCTTCGTTCCCAATAAATATATGGGTTATTCAATTGTTACAATAATAATTGTATACAACCTGAATTTCAGGAGATTATCCATATTTTTGCATTACAGTGTAAATTCTAAACATATATATTCAATTCAAAATGTCACCGCTGGTCCGCTCCCTCATAGCAACAAGTAATTTGCCACTTGACAATGCCCATGTTTTTCTGTTGCAATGCTCACATGATCGTGATATCATTAAACACTCAACCTGAATCCGCAATAAACTGACCATAATGTATACAGGTCATAATAAATTAGTATTTTTAAATTTTAAAAAAATATCAATATTTTTTGGTTGTTATAACGATGTTGGCTCAATATTTATAACAATATGCAATAAATGAAAGCAGGCTGCCATGTGCAGTCAAACCTTAAAATAGCCAAATAGACTTGAATGATACAGTAAGAGACAAAGAGAATATACTTTGAGCTTTGACAAGCAGGAAAGCTCAGATTCTGCACCAAATGCAAAGTTAGTAGTCATATAAACTGCCGGAAAATGTAGCCACAAAATAAGTTTCAAGATATAACAATAGTAATCCCAGCAATTATAGTGCGTCTATAGTATAGGTGAAATTTTATAGGTACATGCGGCTATGAAAACGCCAATTTGTTAACGCTAGGCTTTATGCGGTAAATAGGGCAAAAACGACTGAAACTTCCAAGGTTAGCGACACCATCTTATCAAGTGGGGCAAACATAATACTGAAAACAATATATTCAAGATGGCGTCCCTATTTACAACCAACGGTGTGTATAAATTCTAGCTGGTCGAGATCTGATAACAAAGAATAGCAAACCAAGAAGTTCAATGCCTTCAAGGCAACTATATGTAAAAGTACACTACACAGTCCGCAAATTTCAAATGATTCGTGTAAATAAATGCAAAATATATTTGTGATTGTCTGGCGAGTGCGAGTCACATGTATTAATTAAAAATAATTCACGACAAATATCTTAATCTGAAAAAATATTAAAATGTTATATCAATATATATATATATGGCTACACTACTGATACAAAATATCATAAGTATCACTTACGTTTAAGTAGAAGAAATATAGGAGAGTCAAGGAAAGTCCAAGTATTAAAATCTTCAATCTAGTTTTATATCTTGCCCACGAGATGCCGACGCGCAGCTTAAATTATGTGCATATATGCAATGAAGGATCAAATTATATATTCATATCAAATTTCGCAGACGTCCGACTTTTTTTAGCCAATTAAAATCGAGTATTTTTGATCCGCGAAAACCGCGAAACTCATGTGTCTATAATATTAGTGACTTCGCACATAGTCCACATGTCATTTGGATTTTGCCAAAATTTTGCCTTTTTGGTGACTATATAGGGATTTAGTCAATGACAATTAATGCAACTGAAACAAATAACTGATGTAACATTCCATGAGTTTTAACTTTAAAACCATATAAAATTTAAAGTTTATCACCACCCGGCGATGGCTGATAAACCGTTCAATTACCAATTCAAACTTGAATTTAATAACATCAACAAAACATTCTCCATATTATTGTCATTGAATTCAATATGAACGTTAATTTTAATAGTACGTCAAACCTTTACAGAACGTCACGACGACGTTTTCTTGTAATTAAAATTTCACGTTATTACGAAACAATATATCACAACGTCATTACAACGTTGCTGATCAAGCGTTCTTGTCACGTTGCATTCATGTGTAAGTAAAACGTTTTTACAACGTTAGTATTCAAACTTTCTAGCCACGTTGTATTCATACGTAATTAAAACGTTTTCACAACGTTAGTATTCAAACGACAACGAAGACAAGGTTGTCAAAAGGTTGTCACAATGTTAGGTCCGACCTAACCAAATTACAACCTTCCAAAAACGTTTTTACAACGTTATGTGTTAGCTGGGTAGCACATTGTTTTTCTAAAATGGAAAATTCTTAGAATACGCGCAATGACATGTATGGCGCGAGCAACTGCTCACGTCAGGTCATTTTGGAAGTTCTTTCATTTTAAGTTCTACGTATGTTTGCATGGCGATAAAACATATAATAGTTTTGTTTGTGGAAACACCACGTCGATTCTTTCATTTTGTTAATTCATTTGCGTTTGTCGGGCTTTTGTCATTTTAGCGAAAAAAAGTTGCAAATGCCCCACTATGGGGTCCAAATAACAAAATCCCCACCCTTGGTGACTTACATTGACACAAATGTCCCACCCTTGGGGGACAAAATATAAGTTTTCTGAGGATTTCTGATCCAAAAAATCGAATGCAAGTTCTATCACATATCAATATATCTGTATTTAAAATAAATTCTGTACTCCATAATAGCCATTTCGTTTCAAAACGTTTTTAATTAAAATATTGAAGTCTCAAAGCTTTATATAGCAATATCAAACTGCGGAAGTAAGTCAATCTATCAACAGGATGGACAAGAAAAAAGTCTTTGTGTGTATGTCCGCCATGATTAATTTGTGATATGCACGCATGTGTAAACATACGCACCAAAGTACGGCTAAATGGCGAAACAAGCGATAAATATTCGACTTTTTAGCCTCGAGCAAATTCCCCACCCCGGGGCTAACCTGCAGAAAGCAAATGTCCGACCCTGGGAACAAGTACAGTTGAGAATGCCCGACAAACGGCGGGGGGCAACCATGGAATTGATCGAGACATAAAGCTGGAGTAAACATGTATGCATGTTAAGCAGAAGTGCTCGGATACATGTTGCCTCGTAATTTGTAATTTATGTGTAAACATTTTCAATTAACATGCGTAGAAACCAGGTTTTGTTGCAAGTTGCAGCAATTTTGTTGCTCGTATTACTCCACCGACCTGCGCAAGAATGGTCACCCAGTTTTGTTCGCGATTCTTGAGCAGTTAAGCATAGTTTTGTGATAACTATATCGAGCCACCTTAATTTGCAGCTCCGGAAAATTTGTGAAAACTTCCCTTAATATGTGACGCTTCCCTTAATAGAAAATTTCCAGCTCTGGAAAATTTGTGAAAACTCAAAATTTCATGGCCATTTCAAAGTAGAAACACTATCTTAATTTGCTTTTGATTTTAACACTTTGCATGAATATTTCATACTAATAATGGCACGATGCACAATTATATTGGTTGCGCAAGAAAATACTAGAGATGAGCCGATTAATCGGTTTTGCCGATTAACTGGCCGATAATCGGCTTTTTTTTAATAATCGGTAATCGGCCGATTATTAAAGAATAATCGGCTGTCTGCCGATTATTTCAAAATTTTATATTTCTAGTAATAAATGAGTAATGAGTTTTGTTTCTGTTGCTTTAATGTTTTTGATTCCATGCGTATTAACTGTTTTTATTGAAACACGAATGTGGGAGACTGGAGGTTTGCCAAGAAAAGGTAAAAACGTCAATATTAACTTCTCAAGTGACATATCAGTCTCACACGGAAATAAACTTGACAATAATAATAGACAAAAATAGAACCGGTAATCCATTTGTTGTTGGAACTTGGGCGCCTAAGCTGTTTTTGCTCTTTCAAGTTGAGAGAAATAAGTTCTCTTATTTCTTTTAAGAAATGAATTTGTAAAGTTGAAGATGAAACTAAATAAAACAATCAAATTTATAAAACATGTTATTGTGTGTTCCAAATTTTGATATTTCAGTTTTTGTAAGCTTTGTGATATACTTTGTGAGCATGAATGGCCGATAGATGATGGTAAAAGTGCTGGAAAATGTGGCCACGATCCCCTTCGTGATGAAGAGAGGGAAAAGCCATGGTTGGAAAAGAACAGCAAGGCACATAAGGCGCTACAAAAGATTGTGTTAAGCAAGAGATTCCTGAATACATTTCCATATTTTACTAATTTCAGGTAAGGGAAGATTTATTTTTTATTACTCAATCAATATTGTTACTTGACAAATGACAGGTACTGGTAATGGTAATTAGCGACTAATACTGTTATTAAAATGGTGACACTGACAGTATACAATCTTCGACAACATGGTACATAACTATAAATTTCATGAATATCACCGATATTATTTTTTATATTTGAAGGCACACAGGTTTCCTCGAGTCGTTCCACAATCACTTGTTGATGTATTGCCCAAAACGACATTCATACTCGTAAGTAGTATAATTGTTCATTAGCCGGCATAAACATTATTTTATATAAAACATTTGAATATGCCAACCCACCCACCACCAACATGCAGTATAATTATGGACTAGCACCTTTTAGTGGGTTACATTTTAATGTGTTACAGTACTTAAGAAGAGAGAGTACTGTACCAGGTATCACATTGGCAGACAGTTTCATTAACTTATGTGTTGTCCTGCGTTGTTTTACTTTCTAATGCCAGATGATTTTATTTGTGTAAAGTCTGAATGAAATGTTCAATTTTTATTTTACTTCTTAGGTATGTTGGATACAAGTTAAGGAATCAACTGGCTGTCATCGACTTCAATAGCCATAGGAATCGACAGCCTTGTAAAAATGCTGCTGGAGAAATTGTGTATGTAACTAAATTTTTTTTTTGGGGGGGGGAGGGTTTCGCATAGATTACAGTATAGAATTGTATTTGCTATAATACTATACATGTAGCTGCATTATCAGAATACATTTGAGAAAATGGGCAAACTTGCCAAAAAATTATGTATACTAACCGGTTACAAGATTTAGGTTGAATCTTGTATGTATACAACATAAAGTAGCAAACTGTGCTAACAATGTGTTGAATGTTCTTCAAATGCGTATAATTATATTTTATTATAATTTTATTTTGAGTTTCTATTTTTAATGTCAGGCACCGTGGCCAGTACAGCAAGCATACAAAACAGTGGCGACCAGTTACTGTCCTTCAACCAAAGGATTATGGTTATATCCCGACGCTTATTGTGAAGATCTTTGAAGAGCAATTGAAAACTGGAAATGTTAACAGAAAAATTGTGAGAGGTGCAGATGACCCAAGGAACATAGCTGCAAACATTGCAGTAATGCCAAGACCAAGTATTGAACATCTGGTACAAGTACATAAGTCCAGATTCTAATTGTGCTCATCCATAACAAATATTTAATTTAAATATGAACAATGGTTTTCTGCTGCACAGTATGTACAGTAAGTACTGTATCTACCACATTTAGCATCTTTCATAGGACATGTAAATGTAAACGATATATGTTGTCATGCAATGTATTCAACAATGCACACACAGTCTAACCTTACAGTATAACACATATTAACATCAATAGGTCTTAAAATACCATAGGTCAAATTTGTTTATATTTTACAGTGTGTAACAAAAAAACTCTTGCTTCACCCAATTTTTTTTTACTCTTTTTTAAGATTGTGGATTAGAGCTAATTGACAAATTTTGTTTCACAAACATTGATTTTAGTCTGCCATGCGTGCCGGACAACAGCCGGGCTACGCAGGCGGCAAGCATTTCTGAAACAATGAAAGTACTGTATTTTTTGTGTGATTTGCTGGCTATAGCATTTTGAATAAAAATTACAATATTTATTATGTGATTGTGACACAAGTTTTTCTTACTATTGTGCAATGTTCTGTCAGACTGATCAACAGTTATTATATTGGCCTACAACCTTGTTGGCCTGAAACCTACATAAATACCATTAGGTGATGGGTAGAGGTTTCTTATTGCATTTACACAACAGCTTGGTACTACTCGCCTGTTGCCTTGCCCAAGTCTCCCATGCTGCCAAAGAACAAATTGTCTATATGCAGCATGCCTGAAGTTCTCATTATTTCGTGGATTTTCCATTGCCAACATGTCCTCCATATACCTCATTGCCACATCTAAAATATTTCCGTCTAATACAATTTGATGGAATAATGGGTCTATTGTTATGCATTCTTGGACAACTTGTGTGCAGCATTTATTTTCCGCTTGAGTTGGCGTGGCTACACACAAACCACACTTGCACCAATCAGGTGAATCGCTGCTTTCTGGGGGCCCTGTTTCTCCTGGTGTATCTGTGTTAACATTGTTTGGTAACTCGCCATTTACTAAGTCAGCAAACACTGCAGTTTGGCGTCTTAACAATTCAACAGCCAGACGTCTAACTGTTTCTTCGTTTAGACCATTTATTAATTCCTAAAGAAATATGTATAATAATGTATTTTAACTGTTAGTAGCAATTGATATTCCAGGCAGAAAACAAAGTTTTGTTAAAACCAATTGTTTTTGGCTCTATTAAAAATATTTTCTAGTCTATAATATTTTTACTGTCAATGCAATAGTGTTGATAAAATATTACATTAATTCATTACCTTGAAAAATTGATCAATTTCCTGTGTGCATGAATCGATCCTTTTCATTTCAGTGACTTATTGACCATTGGTAACAAGCAGCCACTCCAGCCAGTAAACAGGAAGTTGAGCAATTTTTAAGCAAATGAATTGATCAACTTTCGGTAATGAATTGATAGAATATTTTATCAACACTTCTGTTGCATCGACAGTAACAAATATGTATTTTCTACTTCTGTCTCATATTGTATATTTTAAATTACAGAATATATGAAATAGAAAAAATATACAATTTAGCATAATGACATGAGAATTGCACAAAATATAATTTTTATTTTGTGGAAACACCATTTCATGCATACTTTGTGTACTACCAAAAAATTTGCAATAAAATAATATAATGTGGTGTTAACACATCAAAACTTATATTATTATTTGCCATGCAAGAAAAATATATTTACCAGAATTTGCTCCTCATGTTGAGCCTGTCTTTCTTCTGAATTTTCTTCAGCTAATAATCTGCCACGTCCTCTTCCCCGTCTGGATGTTCCACGGCTGGTTGTAGTTTCACCTCCAGAAGCCCTTGTACCTCTTGAAGTGCTTGCACATCCTGCCCTATGCTGATTAGATTGTCCTCTTACTCTGCTACGTTTCCTTTGGGGTGGTTGAAAACTCTCATCTGAGGCCCCAGAATCCTAAACAATATTTAAATAACTAATATACTAATAGTAAATAATAATAACAGTTCATGTTTCTTACAGGAAACATACATGGCCTATATAATATATACAAACATTATTTTTGTATTTATCAAGAAATTGTATACTACATAGAGAAATGTATCCTAGCAAACAAGTTAAACATATTACGCAGCAAATCGATGTTCGTTGGGGATGCAAATACGAAGCTTTGATGTTATATCTGAAAGATTTGATGTTACGTTGTCCTCACAACCCTGACAGATGTGGCAAACAATCCCGGTGGAAGTGATGAAGATTCGGAAGATGATGAGTATGGGTATAGGAAATCACAGGCAGAAACAGCAGCTGGACTGTACCACAAACTGATGTCAGGAAAATTCATCGTCGGTTGACAACACTTCATAAGTATCTCTGCGAGCTATACTTCCTTAATAAAGAACTTCAGGCTGAATAAATTGATTGGACGGACATTCAATACGAGCTGACTCTAACTCGGAATTCAATCAACAACATCAAAGACGAGGACATATTCATTGAGTCGAAAGATATTTCAAGAAAGACTGAATACCCCTAAGCTCACTACTACACAATGCCTATCCACAACACTAGTCACTATAGAGCTACAACAGTTACTTATTGGAGAACTCAACACAGAGGTGAAGAAGAAACTCAATTAACGATGAGTTTAATGTCAGATTTGACTCTAAGAACATAGACATCCTTAGAGCTATCAATGCTCTTAATGCAGGTTCAGATACCTACTTGGACTTAAGTGAGCTAGATGTGCTACCGAATACCTTCAGCTGTCTCAACATTAACAGATCTATCCTCGCACTAGAAATCGAAAGAGTTGATTGAAGTTGATTACTGTCTTGGTCTACCACCAATAAATCCAAAGAGGCTTCCAAACTTGACCACTTTAATGAGTTAAGAACACCATCTCCATATCATCCGCTTCAGTGGAAAAAGCATTTTCCGGCATGAATCGTATCTGCAAGAAGCTGTGATCCACCCTTCGTCCAGAAAGATCAAGTGATCTTTTATATATTTCGTTAAACAGGGATGTTGTTGATTTGCTGGATTTGGACGAAGTTGTAACAGTATGGGGAAACATGCGCAATAGTTGGCCTAAGGTCTAAGTCATTAACTGACTAACTAGTCAAACTATATAAAATGTATAATGTGCTTATTACTAAATTGAGAACTATTCATTTGTTAAAAACTTTGTTAGTTTGTTACTATACGATTTTCACGAATTTGAAACATTCTAAGGAAGCTACTGAAAAGTTATACAACTATATTTTATAACTTTATACTACTATTCATTAATAATTATTAAATAATGAATAATAATACTTTGCAAATATACTGTGCTCACTAATTTAGCAAGTTACTAAAGTACTAGCAGGGCACTCCTCCTATCAGATGAGCATTGATCTGCCCCTGGCCAGAAACCACTGAAGCAGAAAGCTTTGTTTCCACTTTGTTTTTATGAAAACAATGCTTCCTAAAAGACACAGATTACCCAAAGTGACAACATCACTATCCCAGTCTACAACATCACATATATTTGGTTAATTTATAACTTATTACTTGACGAAACTTATTTATCCTCCACAAAGCTAGCTACGCCCTTGATTTTGCGAAGTACGGTATTTATCCTGTTTTATACTCTACTATTAAAAACTATATAAAATATTCCAATTCAGTCAGCGGATGTTTTTCTTTGTTTCCGGCACAGATCCGGGTTTGTTGACGATCGTATTTCATGTCTATATAAACTATTGTGGTTTTCCACTCGTTTCTATATATAAAAATATATGATTTTTGTATAAATACTATTATTATTTAATAACGAGATTGTCAATATTCAGTACGTTTATGTTTCTTATTTGTATTTCTATTGTTATATTTTATACATTTGAAAATAATATAATACTAACAAAAGTTGCACAGCAAACATTAAGTTCGGATTTATTAAAATAGTCAAATTGCCACGAGATTCCACGAGATAATGTCGAGGAGTTGACGTAAATACAAGTGAAAAATAAGGAAAATGGCCTGGTATCTCACAAGTCCCTATGCAAAGGTGAAAAACATATACAGTAATTTATGTTGTTTGTGAACGTGTTCATGGTAGTTATACGAGTTACATATATAACATTTTTTTATGATACAGACAAAAGAGAGACTTCGTAAAACAATTGAAGAAAGACATAGCTTGTTGGAAAGCCTTTGATGTTCCGATATATACATGCTGAAAAGTGGATTGTGGATGTGTGAAATGTTGCACAAGGTTTTTAATTCAGTATATTGTACACTATTTTGTTATTGTGGTGTCATTTTAGTCGTTATCAATCACATGAACGTTTTATTCAATTGTTTACAAATAGACTTTACTGTTTAATGCACTTTTGCCCCAGTGGCCTCATTTGCATGTTTGCTTGCTTTAGCATGGCAGGTGTACACAAAGGTTATATCATGTTTTGTGAAGAAATATGCTTTTCTTTGATCTTTAACCCAATTAGAAGCATATTATTAATCCTATACTATCCTTAACGAAACAAGAGGAAATAACCACTTAAGAACGACACCATTGTGGAAAAAGTGTACCTACATAATACACAGTGCAGTCTATTGAACAATTTTAATCGCGCTACATTTACGAGGGTTGCTAATTTGACATTACATTCCAGACCATTGTTTTCCTAACTGTGTACAAATCGTTGATAGGTTTGCTTGCTACATTTTTTATTTTGGAATTCGGAGTGGTTTACCAATCTTGTATTTCGTGTGTTGATTTGATATTTGGAAGAATTAGTACATGTACACTACAGCAAATATTTTAAAGGAAAATTTGATTTAAATTAAAGAAAATATTCTACTACTTGAGATATATCTATTTCTTTTTGGGATCTGTTGTGGGATTATTACAATAGGGCTGCTGTAAACATTTTGTCCTTGATCAAAGATTCCATAAAATATACATGTAGTACGATGACTGAGATTAACTTTTTATTTTTCCCCTTTAATGCCGTTGTAAAAGAAAATGAAATGCAACAAAGAAAGGCGTGCATCACGGCAAACCAAGAGCTTTTTATTATCAGCCTCCTGTTTTCAATTCTACCATTGTCACCTGAATGTACTGCTTTGGTCGAGTGTGTCACTACTTTGTTCCCACGTCGCTATTGCTTGCTGGAAAAAACCAGTGACTGATTTATCAAGCGACTGCAATCAAACGTCAATGGTGATTACCAGCCAGTTACTGCAGTAAGCGAAAGTGAAGTGTAAGAAATTTGGTAGTAAATTTATTAAGGAGCAAAATACAAGCACACTATTTCAACATCATGCAAATTGCCTTTAACATGGGCAAACTTACTGGTATGCAAACTATTGTCTCTTGATCTGTCTACTGTGCCTTCATTGCAGGGAATGTTATACCTGTCACGTTTTAGGAAGAGTTACTATTTTTAGACTTTTATAATTTGTATTCTTTTCTATTTTAACCCTAACCCTTACTCGTATCCTAACCCTAATCTAAATTCTAATCCTAACCCTAAAAGTCTAAAAATAGTAACTGTTCCTAAATCGTCACAAATATATATATATATATATATACATATATATTTCGTTTTCTTAAAAAAAGCCATGCAACCAACTTGACATCATGCATGAATAATGAGACATCCGAGAACGTTTCATGTCTTTGCAAATATTTATCGAAATCACTTGGAACAACCAGAGTGTGTTGTATAATCATGTTGATTCATAAATAATTTAGTTTGATGACAACAATTATATAATCCTATATGTAATGACATCAATATCACATAACTCTGGTATTCAACAAAATGAAACATCTTGTAAATAAAAAGATACAGAAGTTACTGTTCAATTTCAGAGGTTTTTTATTTTAAGCTAACAAACAGTTTCGAGTCTGCCAAGGCACAATGGTCAAATACTTTTTTGGGTTAAAAAATAAAGCGATTAATATGTTCTTGTTCTAAGATTTGCCTAAAAAGAGGAAGCAACTGCATGGAAAAATTCAGTCCCAAAGGAATGTGCTGAATAAATTGGTTGACCATCATAATCGTCTTACCGGAGGGTCACTTGACATACTGGATGCTGAAAACGGCATATGTCCATGGTTGTCAGATGATGGTAAATGAATCACAACATGCATATAGAATAAAATATATACATTGTATATACAATCAATAGCACATTTTGCGTTTGAGCACCACTATCGAGCTACAATCAATGACAAAACACTTTGGACAAAATAGCTAAACAGCGTAAGTTTACAACATAATCGACCCCCCGCACCCCCGTTCAATGTTGTGTGTGGAAATACCTGCGCAAAATGTTCCTTGCCAGCCACCCAACATTGTTTAGGGTGGGGGAGGGAGGGATAGTGGCTTTATGCTGAACAGTATTTGGAAATGCGGAGATATGTATATATTATACCACTGTCCAAAAACCTTTTGTCACTGATTGTAGAAGAATTATTGCAACGCAAACAACATGATTTTAGACCCAATTTATAACTCAGAAAGAATACAGTACTTTTTTGCTTACGGTAAAAATTAAGGCTGTAAAATGTTTGCATGCTTGTTAATACATAACTTAACTAAGCGTGCAACATTAAAATATGATTTTTTTTAAATACTAGATCCCAGCCAAACACAAGCAACAAGTTGCAGGTATTGAGATGGAAATAAGCAGAACAATCGAGGAAATCACCTTGATAGAACAAGAAATGATAAATTATATTGTTTATTACAAAAATACAGCACTTACCAAGCTAAACGATCAACACTCGTCACTGGAGAAGTGTTTGGCAGGTCCAGTATTTAACATTAACAAAAAAAAAAATAAAGTTGAAAAAAAGAATGGAAGAACCCAAAAATATTCCTGCAAATTAAGCTTATGTAAGCTTACCAATTAGCTGTTGCATATTTTGTTTGTGGGTTGTTGCCAGCAACCTATACATGAATAGTTTCTGTGATTGGCTGCTTAAAACAATAAAAATGTAAACATGAAATAAATTTCTACAGGATGAACTGCAAGCACTGGTTCATGTGTTTATCCAATTGTGTTAATTTATAATAATACCTTGACGTTACCCCTAATGTCAATCAAACACTTGACATGTTACCCTTGTTGTCTTAAAAACCCAAACATTTGGCCCTTATGAGAGGGAGTGGAAATTTCATAACAATGTGCTGATAAAATTTTTATATCTTATACATTATTTCTAGAACTAGACTTGTACCAAGACACTGGCTTGGAGTATAATGCAACCCTTGATTCTTTGGATGATGTACGTTTTTAAGCACATTTAAGGAAAGGGTCTGTTTGGTGACGCTCTAATTATTAAATTCATGAAAAATTCTTTTCAATTACAGATATTGTCATACACAACAAACTTAAACAACAAGAAGTTTTTAAAGGTAAATTGTCACTCACAAAAATGGGCATTAACTTCTGCTACCAGCAACTGTATGCTGCACTGACGATGTTTCGACAGGTGAAGGAATGTGATGAGGCACATTTGGAAGATCATCTCATTCAGTTGGCTGAAGAATTGGGGGAAGAAATATCTGAAGATGTGGCTGATGAATCTGAAGATGATGGTTGTTACGATGATATTGATGATAACGATTATTGTAATGACGATCAAACATAAGATATGTCGACATCCTGACAACGCTTCAATTCTACTGCATTAACTAAATTCCAATTACAGTACATGTATAATAATTTTGAGGATAAGTTCTTTGTAGGTTTGCATGGCGATAAAACATATAATACTTTTTGTTTGTGGAAACATCACGTAAATAAATAATATTAGTCAAGTGATTTTGTTGAGTACAATCATAGACATAAAGCATTCATTGCCCACTGAAGCCTAGTTAATGAAGTACAATTATATTAAGTTGGTTGCATTTCTTTATTATTTTACTCTCATGTCTAACCATTAATGCATGAAACTCTGTCCTTCCCAAGTAAATTTGTCTTGCATTACACATAGTAAAATTAGAATAAAGTAAGGGTGCATTTGGGTGCTTTGCAGCTTAATGGATCAATTTACAGCAAGCAAATAATATCAGTCTTGAATCAGGGTCTGTCTGACATTTAAATATTTTTTCAGTATTCAACTGGGATGCCAGCCTGTTATCATTATTCATTTCTTTGGAAATTGATTGTATTGATAGTTTATTCACATGGCAATATTTGCATAGCGGGACTGAATCAGACTGGCTACACCACTGCAAGCTAATCTGCAAAGCCTATTGCGAATGACATTTGCTAAAAAGAATTTGTGCAAGCGCACTTGCCACATGGTGTCATTTTACATTGCATAATCATACATATATTACTGAATGCAACATGGAGACGGTCTCGAAGCGATGTTGATCAGAGAAATGCTTTTCAAAATTGTAGAGGATGGAATAACTTTAAAACCAGAGAAAGTAGCACACAAAAGTTTAAGAAAGGTAGGGAAGTCAAAATTGTATCATATTGAGGTTAGTAAGGCTCGATTTATTGACTTAAATAATAGTTTTAGTTTATATGTAAAATTATGTTGGTTTGTTGCTGTATTTTAATATGAACAACAAAAGTCAAGTGGCTAAATCAGTTTATTAAACGTACGGGCCCGTAAATAGTTACGGCATCAGGATTTATACGCCGGATTGCTTGATTTGATCAATTGCTACATAAATTATATTAAACATTCATGGTTATGTGTGTTGATAATATTGTATTGTCTACTTGTCTACGCATGTGCTGAGTTGTGATCCATGAATACTTTGTGCTTATTGAAATATGTGCATTGACCTCTCTAGATTGTTGATCGGGACAAAGCTATCCCTTACCAAAGCAAAAGTATGGGAAAGATGTGGCAAAGTTTGGGCCATATATGACCCATATGTGGGCATGATATGGGATAGTATAGATATCATGTGGGATTGGTATGGTGTCTAAATTTGTTAAATATTGAGATATGGAAAAGCTATGGAAACAAACACATTGCTATTAATCCTATGGGAAATCTGTGGGGTTACTTGGTCCATAGGTAATCCATATCAATGGCATGCTTTTACATATAACCAATTCTATGGGAATTATATGGTAGTCCACACTTGGTTGTCCCATATACTTCCCATACCTATGGGAATTATATGGTAGTCCGCACTTGGTCGTCCCATATACTTCCCATACCTATGGGAATTATATGGTAGTCCACACTTGGTTGTCCCATATAATTCCCATATATGGGAATTATATGGTAGGTTGTGCCATATACTTCCCATATCTATGGGAATTATATGGTAGTCTGAACTTGTTGTGGTTCTGGCCTCCCATAGAGAATCCATACATATGATTTCTATGGCAATGCTATGCCAACGCTTACGAAAATTTCCTATAGGAATTCCTATAAGAAATGAAATTCCTATAGGATTTGAAAATTCCTATAAGAATTTATATAGGATTTGAAAATAGTGAAAAAATTCCTTTAGGCCACATAAAAAAAATTACTTGTTTAGCGTCCAGCCATTTTAATTTTTCTAGGTCGGGCGGACGGATTTTTTTTTGCGTAAAATGCAACACAAAATTCTGCTAAATGCAGGAAATCCAGTATATTACCACAGTCAAAACTCACTTTAATTCTTTCAAAATCCGTTTATGTTTTCAACTTCCCGTTCATGTTTTTAATAAAACAGAAAATTACCGTTTGGCAGTCACACGCGAACACTTTAGCTGCGAACACTTTAGCTGCGAACAGGCATATTCTGGGAAGGAAACTTTGTGTAAACATATTACATAGCTCCCAGAAGAATAAAATCACCATTTTTTCAAGTAAAACAGTCTTTTTTATAGAGTTTTTCCACTAAACTCGGACAGATTTAAAAAAAAAATTTAAAAAAATTGGAGGTCGGGGACTTTTATCAGGTCGGGCGGGGACTCTAAACAAGTAATTTTTTTTATGTGGCCTTAGGAAAACAAAATTCCTATATATATACATATAGGAAATAAAAATTCCTATAGGAATTCCTATAGGATTGGAAAATAAATTTATTCTAACATTACTAAGTAAATGAATAATTACCGCAATGTGCGCGACCAACAGACTGGTGTCTAGTTTTTTGCCACACGCACAAAGCATCTTGGGATAGGTCATCACACCTCCGATATTTTATAATTTTTTTTGTTTGCGAATGCTTTATATGTTCAAAATAGAACTATTTTTGATGAGATTCAACTGGATTTTCACTAGTAATACATCAGCGATGTTTGTATAATGTTCAGGTGAGCATATGTATATATTTTGTTTATAATAAAGCAAATTATAAAGGAATACCTAGTCCAACCTACATCCGTGAAATTCGAGCATGTGTTCCGATCGGTTTAAAATTTGAATTTGCCGCGACAATAATGGATTAGAATGCTGATATAAATATATTTATCTGTCATTTATACTTCAATAAATGCTACTATAAGAGTTTTATATTTGAATTAGACTTATCAATGTTTATTGGTTAATATATTTGTATATTATAAACTGTATATGCAAGATTAATTGCAGACATTAAGCATGCCTATACATATAGACTACTGTATATAGTACTATATGCTCATATTACATATAGTTTGAAAATTTATCTACTTGCTCAAATCAGCAGCAACCTTCCTAAGATTCTGATATTTATTCATATGTTATTCTTCAAATTAAAATTGATATTTCATTGGGAGAGGTGTAATTGCACCAGTCAATATGAATTAAAATATGTTAGCCTTAGTGTAATGCCAGGAAAATTCTCCATATTTTTTTATGAAATTAACTATGTGATGGTATATTCAAGTTAACGAGACTCTCTACTTACATTTCACGCTAACTCGTTAGGATGAATATGCTCAACTTTCAGTACTTTTTTATTTTACCTTGTCTAACACCACATCAAATATTTTACTTGTGAAAGAGAGTGGACAACTTTGATAGGTTATCTTGCTGTCCCCCTGTGTTATGTGTAAACTTGTTAAGATGCAATTCACACTAATCTGCTATATTTAAAAGCTCAATTTTTTGGCCTGTCTAACACCAGACTATTTTGCATTGTTTGTTGTTAACACATTTAGATGCAATCAGTACTTTGATAGTTAATTATCAGATGATTTTACTCATCAAGATGAGTGTTGGTCATTGAAAGGTTAATAATTAACTGCAAAAGCTGCTGTGTTTGCATATTTAAAAGCAATGTGCCCTACCTTTAGTACTTTGTTATTTTATTAAATATTTATTCCATTAATGTGCCAGACTCTCCACTTAACAAATAAAATTGTCTGTCATTAGACATATAGTAAAACATAATGATTTGGCATTTGACAGAGTAAAGTTGTCTTGCGTTAGACAGAGTAAAATAAAAATTTGGTGCAAAAATGCTTGATGGAAATTTGGCTGCAGAATATATTGTATAAATTTTCTGTCAGTATAATCATTTTTGTCAAATCTTGCAATTTTTATTTAATCTTGACATTTGAATTATTTCGTCCTGCAGATGATAGAAGTTGTAGAAGGATCTGGCATGTTCTGGAATTGCCACCAGTGGACATATTGCTCTGCAAGATTTTCTAATGAAGGCCCTACACCAAGTCAGGTGATACAAAAAATAAACATGAAAAGTGTAGAAGCCAGGCGTCCACAAAGAGTTTGAATAGTCTGTAGTCAAGCCCACAAGTTGAGAGGACTGAGGACATTATTGATACCGATACATTTATATAGATCAATAAGCACTTAGCAATTGACATTATTGCATGTTTGTATATATTGTTTTATTATATACACAAGATCTGGATATGAGGTATTCTGCAATCTGATTGGTTCTCTACTAGCAGGATATTAGCTCATATCTTGCTAGTAGAGAAAAACAAAATGGCGGCCAAACTGAATTTATGATGTTTTGCAAACGAGAAAATGGCAAGTTGTCGCTTTTTATAGCCATTACAGGATTAAAAACACAATGAAAAAACTCCCACAAATTGTTTTCAGGTTAGCAAATAAATGTTTAAAATTTAAAATGGTTAAAAATATATATTTTTGAAAAAATAATCGGCTGAAAGAGCGAAGATAAAAACATAAACAAAATAGAAAAATATTGAAAATATTCGAAAAGCAAAGTCTGAATTCAGACCTTCTGTATATAATAAAACAGTTATTCCACTCACTCTCGTCGATGGCTATCAGCTCATATTCGACTCGAGTTCGTAGAATAACTGTAATACCGTGGTAATTTAGTTAAACAAACTTTGCAAGTTCATTAAGAAATAGTAAATTAGTTAACAATTTTGTAATTTGTTTATTTATTAACTATCTTATTTATTTGTGTATTGTGTTTTTGAAGATTTTTTGCATGTTAATAAAACTATGTATGCCACCAGTAGAATTTTCTTGAGCTGTAGCAAGTATATTTGGAATGGTATGGCCACTTGTTTTCATCCCATACCAAACCCACATGTGTTAGCATCTAGCATTTGGATGTTAGATGTTAACATGGGTTTGGTATGGGATGAAAACATGTGCCCATACCATTCCCAATATAATATGATAATTGTTGCACCCATACCATTGCCATAGTTTATACATCAAGAAGCATATGAATTCCATATCATGTTCCCAGATCATTCCCATATAGAATCCTATCTTACCCATAGCAAAGTTGTTATGAAATGATATAAGGAACCCATGTATTTCCCATAGTAAGTCATATGGGATATGTATGGATTTGTACCAAATACGTATCAAACCCATGTCAAAAACATGATATGGGTATGCTATGAAGGCAACCAGACCATACCAAAGCCATATACCTCCCATATATGGCCCATAGGTTGAACCATATCAATCCCATAGTTGGTCCATATATGTCCCATATAATTTGGTTTTGTAAGTACAGACAGAGTGAAAGTTCACTATACAGGAGACTACAAGAAGACTACAAGAACACTTGGTTGAGACTACTGAAGACTACAAGAAAACTTGGTTGTGTGTCTCCACATTTCATAGCTAGCAAGAGCTCATTAGAAGATAGAGCAGCATTGTTCTGTGACAAGAAGAATTAAGTTCTCACTGTTTTCGACAAAGAGGGAATCACCTGAAGTAAGGGTTGAACAAGAAATTGAACAGGATTGTATCTGACAATTACCTCAAGAAGGTTGCATGGCGAGGTGAAACATGACAGAGGCTGTGCAGTTCATTGTATAAATTCACATTCAGATCCTGGGTTAATCAAACTTCTGGGCAAGAAATCGTCTGAGAGAATGTTAAATATAAATCATGACTTCAGTTATGTCACAAGGGGAACAATTCAATTCTGGACACACACTAAAAAGTGCTTCGAATGAAAGAATTTATCGAAATTGGTGGGAATCTTTTTGAGAACTAAATTGACAATGAAGTTGTTCTTGTGTTTACCTTTGTTAGGGGAGATGGATTTAAAGTGGCACTATCATTGAAATTTTTTTTTCATAATCCAGAAATATAACATATGCTTAATATTCTTACCAAATTTCAAGGCAAAATTCGTTCATCTTCCCGATTTTTTTTGCGATTCTTATTTGCCAATTTTACGGCCGCCATTAAACGATGCCAATTAAGCAAGAATGCGTTTTGAAGAGGATGTGATGTCATTCACTCAACACGCCGAAAGTTTTTATTGTATTTCACTACTATTTCAACAATGTCTTCGTACAAAGGAGAGTCAGAAACTTCAGAAAGTGAACACTCGCATGGGAACAAAGCGAGCTGTGATGAAGAAACGTACGGTGACTCACATTCAAGTGAAAATAGTGATGAAAAGAAGAAATCGAACCTAGAAAAGTTAATATTTGTTGACAATATATGGCTATCTTGTTTGTTGTTGAAAACATGACCTTTGGCACAAACTTTTGAAGTTGAAAAGGATAATTTTCATCACTCGTTCAAAGTTTGGCTTTAGCATCACTTTATACTTCTTTAATATACATCACAGCAACTTGGTAGTTTCAATCAAAATACGAACAAAAATTCAAACAAATGTCTTGTAATTTATAGCTATAAATAATATTTCAATGCATGTGTGTCTAATAACTGTCTGTCGGTCTATTTCTGTTTTTTAATGACTTTCAATTAATAAACGGACATGCACTAGCTCAGGGAATTTTATAGTGCAAGTATAAAATATCCTACAACTCTACGCGCATTTTCGCTTTTGCCATATTAAAGAATCATTGTAGGCCGGCTAGTATTGTATAGCAAACTATATACAGTGTGTCCCCCAAAAAAGTACCCTCTATACTCTATAGAAATTTATCATATTGTTGTTAAGCACAGGATTTTATGCGACTAGTACTTAAAAATTCAATTCAATTGTGTTTACGCACTCTTGTGTTCAGCATAGTGCTCGGGCATTCAAATTATAACAATAGGATAATTTATATAGAGGGTACTTTTTTGGGGGACACCCTGTACAGTATATAAAGGTCACACGCGACGGGGATAAATATTACGAAAGTCACCGAACTGTGCTATCGCATCCAAAATTCGTATATCAACCACTCCCACAAACATCTACGACCACGCCTACATAGTTTTGCATGTTTACAATTCTAATTTTGAACAGCCAATCGGGTTCTTGGTAACAATTACAATTAAATCAAAATTAGAATTGTAAACATGTAAAACTATGTAGGTGCGGTCGTAGACGTTTGTGGGAGTGGTCGATATATGAATTTTTTATGCGATTCCACAGTTCGGTGACTTTCGTAATACAATAGTTGATTTTACAACTTGCATTTGAAAAGTAGATGTGTAATTTTCAACTTGCACAGCGCTCATTGCCATTGGCATTGAAGGTCTATAAAAGTATGGAAAACAAATATTGAACATTTGAACTCTTATGAGGCAAGGTTTAGGATTCAGATATTGCCGTAGTCACAGAATAGATAATAGGACCAGAAGTCTCACTTGAGCAGAAACATGTCCTATCTTTTATACTGCGCATGCACGAGCTAAACTGTAATGCAATGTTGACAATAGAAAATTATATTGGGAAGTTGTCATTTCTACAGTAAAAACAGCTTTTTTTCAAGTAGTACGAAATGTGACTTCGATTTATCTGTGGAACTATTTGAACAGAAGGTAAAGCAGTAATATTGTTGTATTTAGAAAGCAAACAGGGTCATATTTAAAAAAAATAGCACCCTGAATATAAATTTGAGCATCATTAAAATGTGTTCACTATGATGCCATTTTGTCTCCAGTATATACGGAGTTCTGCTTTTATATTTGTGGATATTCGAATTTATTTGGCTCAAAAACACCATTACTTCAATATCCCTTTCTTGTTTTTCCTTGGATAGGTTTTAACAAGATAGAACTCTAGATCACTTGGGTCCAAAGACGCTAGATTATAAAATCCTTATGTGACTTGATACTACAAATAGAATATGTCTTATGATTTTAATAATTCTACAAATAGAATGACTTTTAAGTACAAACTTCAATGAATTGATAAAGTGTAAGGATAGTGTTTAAAGTCGCTTGATGTGTAGAAGCTGAATTACTTTAGTTTATACACTGTATTGTTGAGATCACATGTTGATATGACTTGCTAGCAACTTGCAATAAGTGGTCTGTTCTGCTTGTTTATAATACTTTAGAGTTTGGACATTAGAACATTGTAATTGCCTGACAGAGACTGTTAGGGCCTGTTTGTATGGAAGCCGGGCTGGCCCGCTTAGCGAGATAGCCCGGTAAGCAGGATGATTTCTCTTGTGTTTATTTGAGAAAATTTCATCCCGCTTACCGGGACAATTTTGTTGTTTTGACATTGTTTTGACAGTTGTTAAAAATAGCTTGCGGCAATACCTTTGAACTTTCATCCTGGCAAACGGGCTAGCCTGCTTGTGATTGTTTATATGAAGAAATTTCCATCCTGGTCTCGGCAACCGGGCCTGTCCGCTTGTCCATAGAAACGATAATTTTTACTATAAAAATAACTAGACAGCGAGATCTCACTTCCCGGGCTGTCTCACTTAGCGGGCCAGCCAGTTTTGATATAAACAGGCCCTTAGACAACTGCTAAAAGCTGCAAGTTTCTTTAAAGCAATATTGTCTATATCACAGAATACAGTTGTTTCTGTAGTGACATACTTCGTGGTTTTTCTGTCTTTAAAGTGTCTTATGTTTGTAATATTTTTGTACAATACCTTTTTGAAATTGTTGATACTGGTCTCATTGTAACTCAGTTATTCCTTCTCAAGAAAAATAAAAAAACAAAGCTGTGTGGGTGTGTTTTTGCTCTAGCTAGTTTTTACATTTACATGGTTCATGTACAATTAATGTACATTTAAATTAGCTTTGTTCAATGAATACAGGTGTGATTCAAATATCATTCCTGTCAGGTACTTGGGTCAATATCATAATAAGCATCATAAGCATCATCTAATGCCAGATGATTTTACTTATCGAGGAGAGTGCTGTTGCTGATTGAGTCCACTGAGTGGCAGCACTTTCCCCTTGACGAGTAAAATTGTCTGGCGTTGGACAAAGTAAAATAATCTTGCGTTCAATCAAGAAGCTACATTTTCAAAAGCTCAACCAGGCTAAAGGTTCTTTGATTTGAAAACCAAAGTGATAGTGAACTAGTTAGTTGAAACAAACATAATTGTTTGATTTATTTACTTTCCACAACATTGACAATTAAAATTTAATTTGATACTTTTCCAGTATGCATTCTTCATTGACATTATATAGGTTCAGATTTGACTACCATTAATTGCCATTAAGGGACCATCAACCAATCAAATGCATTTGATATATTCGATCAACCATTATAACCAATCAGATGCATACTAAGGCGGTCAGAGATAGTGGTAATAGAACTCAAATCTGAACCTCTATAATGAAAGTGTGAGTTTATTCATAAACTAATTATAAATCAACTTCCATGCAATCATCTAGTTATGCACCAGTCAATGTAAATCCCTGCCCCCAACCGGGGAGGGGCGGGAGGTTTAGCGGGGAAAGTGGTCAGTTTTGATTATAAATTTGTCCCCGATGATGGGAGACTTGGACGGTGGTTAACATATATATCCTGTGTTGCTGTTTTAGTTTTCTTGACAAGAAAAGTTTAAATACAACAACATAATTAAATTTCATTTTCTATTGCTGACAAAAGTTAAATAGTCGGCCCCTTAGGCCACATAAAATAAATTCCTCGATTTTCATCACCGTCCGACTGTATTTTAAGAGCTGCGTGAAATTTTAAAATATTTTGTTATACAATATAAATGTACCGCCCGACAAAATATTTCAAGACAGTTAAGTTTTTTATATTTTATATTGGGTTTTTAGTGCCATTTAAACTGCCAATTTCAAACAAATAGAACTTTGACAGAAATTTCATTGCATTTTAACAGAACTTCGCATTCAGTTCAAGGGCCAGTCATTGTTTGTGGAGAAATATGTTTATTTCAGTTTGTGACACTTTTATTTATTGATATATATAAATTATATAAATATAAAATATAAACCTCCTGCCTCTTTGACATTTTCAAAGTGTAGTGATGAGAATCAAGGAATTTATTTTATGTGGCCGTGGAGATAAATGGATGGTATTGGAGAGTGTTGTGATTTATAATGAAACATTGAATAGTGACGTGACTGCGTATTGGGGCTATAGCAAACCTCACAGAGTTTTGGGATGACCGTGCTTGTGCGCAAAGTATGTTAGTGTATGGTATTGGAGATATGTTGTGATTTTTAATGAAACATATATTGAATAATGGTGTGACTGTATTGGGGCTATAGCAAACCTCAGAGAGACCACTTTGGCACTTAATCTCTGTTCTTACCAATTTACTAAAATACTTTGCAGAATTCTGTAGTGTTTTGTAGCGTTTTAAAAAAGGTTGTGATACTTTGTAGAGTTCTGTAGTATGTTGTATCACTTTAAAAAAGGTTGCTTCATTATCAGAGTTTTGTAGTGTTATGTAGCACTTTAAAAAAGCTTGGTATACTTTGCAGAGTTCTGTAGTGTTTTGTAGCGCTTTAAAAAAAAGGTTGTATACTTTGCAGAGTGCTGTAGTGTTTTGTATAGCACTTTAAAAAAAAGGTTGTAAACTTTGCAGAGTTTTGTAGTGTTTTGTAGCACTTTAATTTAAAAAAAGGTTGTATACTTTGCAGAGTGCTGTAGTGTTTTATAGCACTTTAATAAAGGTTGTATACTTTGCAGAGTGCTTAGTGTTTTGTAGCACTTTAAAAAAAGGTTGTATACTTTGCAAAGTTTTGTAGTGTTATGTATCACTTTAAAAAAAGGTTGTACACTTTGCAGAGTTTGTCTGAACGTCTATGACAAAAGCAATGGGCTATGGTTGTATAATATTCCTAATATAAAGCAATAAGGCTAAGTAGTCTAGCACTTAGTCTTATCTGTTAATAATGATGCAAAAATATGTGCACACAATGCCAACAACAATGGGTAACTTGACTTTCCGAAATTAAACCTTACTCATAATGAACAAAGCATAAGGGATTGACTATTTTATTCAAGCCTTCAGCTTCAACTGATTGCGATGCCGAGAACATGATACACTACATATTTTGCTTGCTTAGGGTACTAGACTTGCCCAAGTTTTCATAGGGCTAATCAGTTTATTATGAGATAACCTCATCCTGGGGCTCTTTCCAAAATTCCCCACAAATGGTTTGACAAATCTGCTCATTCTTTGCTAACATACCATTCATTGGTTGTTAGCTATGTACATACACATACAATATACCCTTCATATACTTAATCTGTAGTGTTTTGTAGCACAATACAGAAACACTACAGCAAAAATTGAATCCTAAACCTTGCCAGGTATATTTGAACTGATTTGAAGCATTATTAATTGAGCATATTACTTCTGTGATTCGTTCCCGAGACATTTATATTCGTTCTATTTATAAAAATTATCCGATTCAAATGCAATTAGTTGTAAAATCTGAAATCAACTTATTGTTAATATTATATGCAATAATCTTTCGTACAGTATAATATCAGTATCTCAATATATACCGTGTTTATACGTGTCCCAGAGCAAGTTGACATTTATTGTCAACAAATATTAACTTTTCTAGGTTTGATTTCTTCTTTTCAACACTATTTTCACTTAAATGTGAGTCACCGTACGTTTCTTCATCACAACTCGCTTTGTTCCCATGCAAGTGTTCACTTTCTGAAGTTTCGGACTCACCTTTGTACGAAGACATTGTTGAAATAGTAATGAAATACAATAAAAACATTCAGCGTGTTGTGTGAATGACATCACATCCTCTTCAGAACGCCTTCTTGCCTTAATTGACTGTGTTTAATGGCGGCCGTTTAATGGCGGCCGTCAAATTGGCAAATAAGAATCGTAAAAAAGTCAGTAAGATGAACGAATTTTGCCTTGAAATTTGGTAAGAATATCAAGCATACGTTATATTTCAGGATTACGAAAAAAAAATTAAATGATAGTGCCACTTTAAACAGGAATATAATAGTGGAAACTGGAAATATTAATAAAACCTGTCTATATATTGTTTAGTTATTTTAAAATATCCATGGTGCAGCAGTATCCTAAAAGTACAAGTTCCCATGTGCAACAATAATTATTTCCAAAATGTATCAACAATTGTTCATTAATGTCTAATGAATATATTACCTCAAAAAACCACAACAATCTGTTTCACGTGTGAAGAATCCATTCCTCAAGTGGTTACCTCCTGAAGAATCTTCACAGATGAAACAGACTGTAGTGGTCCATAAAGATAGAGTTCAAAGTAAGGTTTAAGTTTAAAGGCTTCTTTGAATAAGCAGAAACTGGGTGAATATTGGAATAAGCTGAAACCCCTCTTCCCTTGCAACAAATCAAGTACTGATAATTTTATTCATCTTATAGAAGATGAAAATTTGATATCTGATCCTGCTCCTGCATCTGTATTTAATGAATATTTTTGCTCCCCCGTAATTGACCAGGATTGCTTTGAAGCTTAAAGAAGACGATTTCACAAGTCACCCTAGTGTTATGGAGTTAATTTAACCTTGAAGCTAATCTTAATTTTTCGTTCTATTCTGCATATTTGGAGGAGCTATAGTTGTCACTGGATGAAAAAAAAAGCTTGTGCTCCAGATGGAATTACCTCTAATATTCTTAGGATTTCAACACTAGCTGTAGTAAGTCCTCTCACCAAGCTCTACAATTATTGCATTGTTAATTATATATGGCCCACTGAATGGAAACATAGTAATGTCATTCCTATTTTTAAGAAGGATGACGAACAAGTAAAACAAACTACAGGTCTATCAATTTACTCTCTGTAATCCTGAAGTTATTAGAGAAAATTATGTTTGATCAATTGTATCCACCCTTTTCCATGATTTTCTCTGAGAACATGTCAGGTTTCCAACGTGGTCACTCTTGTTGTAATGCTCTTTTAAAGTTAACAGAAGATGGGAGATCTGCTCTGGATGACAAAAATGATGTTGCTGTGGTGGCCATTTATGTTTCTAAAGCATTTGATTCTCTCTGCCACAACTTGCTATTGGCCAAATTAAAGTCATGGTTTAGACAAATCAGCCGTAGACTGGATTTGTTCCTACCTGCATGGCCGTAAACAAAGGATGAAGTGCAATGATTCATTTTTGGATTGGCTTCCTGTCCATTGTGGTGTTCCTCACGGGAGTTTACTTGGGCCTTTGTTGTTCAACATTTATGTGAATGATATAAACTCATTGGTAACCAGTTCCTCCCTTTGTCTATATGCGGATGGTACAAGTACTTATTATTCCGATCAATGTCCCGCAAGACTGTATCTTTCGATCAACATGGATATATCAACACTCAACCTTTGGTTTCACAATCATTTTCTCACTGTGAATGCTGGTAAGACACAGGCTATGGTAATGGGAAAATCTGATTTCGATATAAAATTTGCTGATGGCTCCATTCAAATGTCAAAATTTTAGGAGTTACTCTAGACAAGCATTTAACTTTTGAATCCAATATAAAAGAAATGCTCAAGAAGGTTTATTCGAAAGTGGCGGCCTTACAAGGAATAAGGCGCATGATCCTTATTGAAGTTGCAACGAAATTGTACAAAGCCTACATGCTTCCACATTTGGAATATTGCTGTCCTCTCCTTCTTGGTATCGGGAAAGGCTTGAATAGGAAATTGGAATCTGCCAACCATTATGCCCTAAAAACTCTATTAATATGGGTAATACTTTGGATTACGAAACAGTTTTGAATATGGCATCAATGTGTTCCTTGGAACAAAGACAGTTTGAACAGTCTTTAACTATGTTTTGTAAATGTACACGTCTTCATGGGCCCCAATATATTTCAATTTTTTTAAAATTGTGGTCCTCACTTTACAATCGTAGAAATACTGGTCTGAATTTTGAGCAGGCCAGTTAAAATACTTTATATTTACCATAATTCATATTCTTATATCATTTCACATATTTGGATTGAGCTACCTAATGTTATTAAAAACACCAACTCGTTATATGCGTTTTGTTATTCAATTTCAAGAATAGATTTTACTAACAAACTCAATCTCAGCTGCAGGTGTGCGAGATGTATCTAATTCTTAAACATTTTATACTACAGCAGTTTCTCCATTAGTCCCAATTATGTACATAGGTTTTTCATTTACTTTGTTTTAAATTTGTACATGTCGTCATGCATAGAGTAAATAGTCGAGCATTTTTAACATGAACCTATGACTCGGAAGATTGAGTAATCACTCCCTATATTATTGACTTTAAATAAATACTATTACTATGTCCTCCACATATTCCATTCAATTATGCTTCTGTACCAACTGAAACAGGGCATCGATACCCCTTTGATTAATAGACCAGAAGTAGTCTTTAGTTGTCTTGTCATTTAATTTTTCTAAGCCTTGTTGGGTAAAAGGACAAATAGTGCCATATAAATGTAGAAATTCTGGAACATGACACACCTAGGCATGCATGTATGGTGTATGGACATGCTTTGTCTGGTAAAGGGATAGTAAAGGTCCAACCACAATTTAGTTCTCTTTGAAAAATCTTCCACAATGATTTTATCCTGGTTTAAAGGCTCAAGAGTTCAGCAATATCGTAAAAATCATTTCATAATTTCTGAATTTTATCTGAACCTTGAAAAGTAGGCACACATCTATCTTTATATTCTGGAAGAGTCTAAGTTTTTACATCCTGCCACTTCACCTTCTTACTCTCTTTACATATGAACCAGTTGAAGAGAATTTTCAAGGTTTCATTCAGGTACTTTTCCCAACCTGCCACATGCTTGTATTAGGGACTTTAAGATTGCACGAGATGTGCAACGGCAACGCTGACCGGAAGTGTTAACTGAACTTAATTTTGCTGACTTTGCAATTTAATGACGTTTCTCGTCGTGTCGACGACGTGAGAACCAGTGTTTTGGCGTTGGACCCATTAAATATTGGTTGATATAAAGCCTTTCCTATCTGTGACATTACTTTTTAAAACCAATATAAATTGATAGTTTTTTGTTGTTATCAGATGGAGTGGACAATGGAACATAACATAATTTATTGTCGAGATATTCTGTTGGTAAATCCATTCCAAAGCAAGAAGGGATCAGTCGAACGAGGTAGCCTATGGACACAGATTGCTGACAACATGAATTCTTTGGTGAGCCCTAAGTTTATTGTGACAAAAAGATCAGTTCAAGAGCACTTGGCAGTCTTGCAGAAAAAGTACCAAAAGAAAATGAGACAGGAAGAGGAGGCAAGTGGTATCTCTTTAGAGAAAACAGAGCTTGATATCCTACTTGAGGAGATTTATGTAGCCGAGCAGATTGGTGAAGCAGAACAAGAAGAAGCAAGCCGAATGAATCAAGAAAAAACTGACCAGGAACAAGCAAGAGCAGATGATGTGAGATGGACTGCAATGGAAACATTCGCAGAAACTCAAAAACGAAATGGCGAAGAAAAGGAGAAAAAAACGAAAAGGAAACGAAGAAGTGGAGAGATGGTGGATTATTTGAAGGAAAAATTCGAGAGTGAGCAAAAGGTGTGAAAAGAGGAAATGGAAGTCAAATACAAAATGTTAGAATTGGAGGAGAAGAAACACACTGCAAATGTGGCGATGCAGAAGGATGCCAGCAAGCAACAAATGGAGATGCTACATGCAATGCAGGACCAGAACATCCAACAGCAGCAGCAGTTTCAACAACACATGCAACAAACTGCAAACTTGCAAATGATGCTCATGCAAAACCAGCAGGAACAGCAACAGGCAACGCTAGAATTTTTTAGTAAACTAACTAACAAGAACTGAACATTAGAAAAGAACATTGCCAAAAAAACTTTCTAGATTCATATTTGATCTTTTTATGTGACTATATGCAGGTATAGTGCCTGTTATGTACACTGTGTTTATTGCTTGAACATCATAGACATACAAGATGGGGAGGGGGGGGGAGGGGGGGAAGTTGTCCCCCATGTTGTTGGGCAGACAAGGCCTTGCATGTTGAGTTGTTGATATTTTTATCCACTTTGTCTTTGTGAAACAATGCATCATTTCATAAAAGTAACAATGTAACATGTTTAATATATCTTTACATACCTCAAAAAGTAGTCATTATATATAGTATAAATTGTTTACATCATGCAAAATTCAAATGTGAGCCATAATGTGAGTAATATACACCACTTATTATTTTCCAGTGGCAGACACAAGTGGGGGTGCAAATTTACACTGCTAAAGCAATTATTCGGGCTTCAAGAAATTATTGCCCTCTTAGTTTCTGCCACTGAAACAACAAGACTATAATTACACATGGGATATAAAATCACGCAAAATACTCGTTTAGAGCAGGTGGGTCTAATTCAAAATACATGGATGTAGTGTTTTTGTATAGACATGTTAAGGCATTCCTTAACAGAGCCCCAACTATATACATTTTGCCGACTTGGCTGAGTCTAATTTTCAAATTCTTTTTAAAGTCTAAAAATTTGAAATAATTTACAATATCACCAAATAGCCATTCCACTGACACCCGTACTTGACTCATGGAACAGTTGAAATCTTGCATTTCCTCGGTAATGCCTTCTCAACGAAAGGGTGCTTGAAGGTGCATCCGAAGTGGGTAGGCCAGGTCACCATAAATGCACATTGGTTCGCCTTGTCTGGAGAATGCAAATTGCCTCATGTTGTTGTACAGGCCAGACTCACCAAGCATCTGTGCATCATGCATCTTCCCCTCTATTGAGAATATTGCACAAATGTTACATTATATAAATGTTATTTACAGGTGATAGGGACACCATTTGATATATAAATCACTACAGTAGGAAGCAATTTTGTATTTGGGGGAGCTGATTAGTTAGGGTTGATTATTAGGTCATTATTTCCCTCTCAAACTTCACAGATTATCGTTAGTTTACAACGGCCCTGTTTCAAATACTTTGATAAAATTGTCAAGTACCAGCTTTAATATATAGACACTGACATAGTACCTGCTGGAAAAAAATAAATTTTATGCCTTGGTTTACTAGAAACTTACCAACTGGTCCATATAAATTAGCAATAATTCCATTGGGCAAGGCCACAGATTGGAACTTTAGGGCGTGGACTCGTTTATGACCATTATATATGACTCTTTGGTTTTTCCCAGGTCTACAAATTTGTCTGACCGTCCCATCTACGAAACCAAAGCAGTTGGTAAGGGCTGCTCCTTTGTTCAATATGGCTGTAGCATATGTCTCAAGAGCTTCTGGGTGTAAAATCTGATGATTCCACTCTGTCAGACGATGGCCATGGATATAAAAAATTAAACTGATCATTTTATTATTAATCATAGCTAATTCAGGAACTGGTCTACCAAAGGTAGGAATCAGGTAGGAATGCACAAGGCTTCTTCTCGTCCACAAATAGTCCCTTGGTAACATTTTACAATTTCTGGAATCCTTAGCGTATCCGCAAGTCCTGGTATATCATTCTTTTCCACTCTAAATTCAGTTTTGCATTCAACTTCGTCCTTTAACTCTAGGTCAAAGGCTGGATAGCTTGTGTACGGATACTCAGCATTCAGAGAAGTATATTGTTCGTGCAACAGCAAAAACTCTTCTTCGTCCAATAAACCTTCGTCAAAACCAATAACCAGCAAATCACGAACGGATTTGAAGGATGCCATTCACATATCTCACAGAAAAGTGGTGAAATTATAACAGTTTTCGGTTGCCGTTGTGCGTGGCGATGTCGAACATCTTAACATGGCGGATGTTTACAACACGACGGCGTTCTCTCCCCATGCAATTCCCGGTTTCAGCGTTGCCGTTGCCGCCGGCGATGCGCAATCTTAAAGCCTCTATTGTTTTAGACGCCCGTCACGCCAGCGTGAGCAGATTTTCAAAGCCCGCTCCGCCCGCGCGGGCAAAGTGACTGCAATGAAAACCGGCCTTTAAGGCAATTTTCCATTGCAGTCGCTTTGCCCGCGCGGGCGGAGCGGGCTTTGAAAATCTGCTCACGCGGGCGTGACGGGCTTCAAAAACAATGAACGCTCCGCTCGCGCGGGCAAAGCGACTGCAATGAAAAATTGCCTTTAGTCAACCGGCTTGAGCGCGCACACGTTTTAACATTTACGAAGATGTCCACTCCTAAGAAATAAAACTTCCGCGGTTCTGGCCACTGCTGATCAAATCGATCAGATTTCAGATCGCCTAAATTTTCCTAACAAAACGGTCGTTGTTTGGGCGTGTTCGTGAAGTCACATGCAAACTAAAGGTCCACTAACCGCGCCCAGACTACATATCCTAAAATAGCAAAACAAACAAATATGAACCGCTCGTTACAATAAGGTTTTGATGAAGTCACAATAACACAAAATTTCCTTGGTGAACAGGTCAGTCTCTTTGTCATTGCATGTTCGAGCCAATAACCTATGTGCTTGGATATGGTTTGGCTGCTAAATCAACTTTCTTAAACAACGTACCGGCTTGCTTGGCAACCTACTATGCTATAGACTCAGGAGGGGAATGCCACAACATACCTGTCTTCGAATTATTGCACATTTACCCAGACAATCGGTACCAAAATGCTTCTTATCAACACATTCTGTGGGGGTAAAACGCATGTCCAGCCTACCTAGTACAGATCCATCACAGTCGACACGATTATATCGGCTATTGACTTCATCCAGGTAAAATCTAAACGAAAGAATTTCAAAATACAGTCCAATCACTTGCAATATAACAGCAAGTCAGTAAATGGGGCGTCGGTACCCAATGGGCTTTTGCTCGATATCTTAAGGTGGCCCTCAACAGTTTTGCGAAAAGTGTTGAGTCCAACTTCGAACAGCAAAATTTAACACCAAAATATTAAACCAGCAAACTAAAACTATATCTAAATTATTTGAAAACATACTAGGAATGAAAAACAATTCAGTAACGATGTTTAGCAACGGTTAACGGAAACAATGACGTTTCAATACGGCCGTCAATTACAGTTTAAACAAGAGAAACCACGTTTTAGCCCTTAAATAAGTTTCGTACAACAGATTTTTTTTACAAATTTCCCTATTCATTATCCATCATGTGAGAAATCTATTAATTAAAAAAACTTGTGGATCGCGAAAGTCTTTTCGTAAATAATTATGATTAAAAAATAAGTGGGGCCATTGTTGCCACAGTAACCGTCGCTAAACATCATTATATTGGATTATTTTTTATTCCTGGTATGTTTCCTAATATTTTAGATACAGTTTTAACTTTCTGGTTAAATATCTTTTAACTATCTTAGTGTTTAAATTTCTGTTCAAATTTGAACTCAACTCTTTTTGCGAAAAGTGGTAGTAACCCATTAAAAGATCAATCATGCTTTAATTATGTGTGGCAAAGCGAATTAATTGCGAACATTTTTAGCAAAGCTGGAATAAAAATAAATAAAAAAGGTCTAAAAAACGAAGAGAGAAGAGATGTAGAACAAGGAGGGAGAATCAATTGCATCGTATGTTAATTAAGCTAAAAATGGCTGATGAGTCAGGACGGTACGACCGCACGAGAACTATGTAGTATCCATGAATCTATGACAAAACCCTAACATGACATGACAATATCCCCGAAGACAAAATCCCCGGCGACAAAAACTCCGACGACTATATCTCCACCGACAAAAACCCCAATTACCGAATTCAGACAAAAACCCCACACCGTGACACATCTATGGCAGTTGTTATTTTGCCATTGCAGGAAAGCGCAGGTAGACACTTTTGTGTACATATGACCATCGTAACGTAGCTTTTCACCCCATTTGTCGCTTTGAATGACTTACATGATTGGGATCGAACTAAGCTGTAAATGAATTGAGAATCTAAAGCGCCTTTTTATAGGGTTACGTATTAACCTTCAAGTGATGACTCATTTCCTAGAAATGTGCTTTTTTACGTAACACTTTGAGAGTTATCCATGCGGTTTGCTTTTGTTATAAATTGCTTTGTTTATACTGGACCACGTGCATTGTTCTTCATCCATGCATCTTTTTTTCTTTGAATTGCTTTTGTCACTGGCCCACATGTACATGTATTGTTCTTTTTACCATGCGGAATACTTTTGTGAGTCATTGCTCATTTTAGCACGAACTGCGAGCAAATCAAGCAATTAAAAAACTTTTCTCATTTTTTTTATTTTTCACTTTGGATTAAAATGTGGCTTTTTGTCTAAATTCGGTAATTTGGGGGTTTTGTTGTCGCGGATTTTGTCTGCGGGAATTTTGTCATGTGCGGGTTTTCTTGGTAAGCCAGTATCCATGGATGGTTTTAGTGGTAGACATTCTTACCGAATATTGTCATCTGGTAGTTGTAAATGGCCGTCGCCCAGCGGTACACAATAATAGATCTCATCATTATCTTTAAGTTGCACGTTAAATATTTCTCCCGACGAACCCCAGTCTGTTTTCACTTCTTTCCGTTTATTTAAAGGCGCCACTACAGCAAAAAGTCTTCGGTCTGATTGTGAATCAATTTCGTGTGCTGCCACACAAACTGCTTTGACACCAGGCGAAGCTTCTCCCTGGTGGCTTTCACCAGTGGACACTACGCTTTCAGTGCTAACGTCCTCACTTTTTTTCACAGCTGCATGTAACCTAGAAAATACAAAAGAAGAGAAGTAAGGAAGTAGTAACAACGATTGCATGAAATAGATAAAACGGGAAAAAAGAGAAATAAGTAAACGGTAAGAGTAAAGTGGGGAAAAGACGGGGAAAAATGAACTACTGCATGGGAGAATATTAAAGGACGAGAGAAGGTACCCACGGAACAGCAGAGAGAAGAAGGGGGGAAGGAAATAGGCAAGATAAACGCAGAGAGAAGGGAAGAGGAAAAAGAAGGGGGGTAAAAGAAGAGGAGATGGAGAGATGTGCATCAGGAGAAAAAGAGGATAAAGGGGGAATAAAGAAAGATCGAAACAGAGAAAAGAAATAGCTAGGGGGAGCAGAAATAATGAAACAATAATGAAGAAATGAACGAAATGAACAAAAGGATAGACAGAGAAGAAAGTAGATTAAAGGCCAAGAGATAAGGAGGAAGAAAGTGGAAAACAAAAAGACAAAGGAGGACAGCCGGGAGAACAAAGAATGGAGAAACACTAAACGCAGTTTCATCCAACGAGATGAATATCTTACTCGCAAAAATGATAAACGCGAAATGATATTTCCAATCGATCTTTCCGGCTTCGTTCTATCACCGCTGTTTCAATATCGTGTACATTTTCCCATGTTTTGTTACCCTCAGAATTATTATGGCTACGTAGCAATACTCCATGTTTGGACGTGAAGGGAATCTTCTTGTCGACAGGAAGAAACTTCTCATCTAACTCCTCAACGGCGGGACAAGAGTAACCGAGAAGTACTTCAACCGGTTCCAGAAACCGCTTATCTTGTCCAGATACTTTAAGAACTGGAAATTGTATAAGCTGATCATTTGGACTCATTGAAACGTCCAGCATGTCTCGAACAGGAAAAACCTTAAGAATAATAAGAAACTCAGAATTTGTGATGAGGCAACAATACTGCTACATGTTGTTGTTATCAGATAGATCAGGACTGATGAATTCTGTCCAGTGGACATCAATTCTGATCATAACCTTTAACATCTCACAGCTGTTACAGAGATGGCTACGTTTTCCTGAACCGATTGGATATCAGTGCAATTGAATGTAGTAACAGAATGTGCGTTTCTCCGTGGATAGTTTTTATCAGTTCAAGAGTTTCAGTTAGTACTATACGTCTTAACCCTTTGGCTCGTTAGAACGAAATAAGTTGCCGAGATGTTACTGGTAAATTTGATCCTCACTGATGGTATGCAATATATTTTCACACAATACAGCACTATATGTGCGTCGAATAAGGATTTACATCAACGTTGGAATTGATTATACCATACTAGCCAAATGAACATTATTTTAATATTTTGTGTGACCTTTTGATTTTAAAATAGCTTTAATTAATTGACTCTTCCAGGCATAGATTCAACAAGTGTTCTAAGTACTGCTGGCTTAAGGTTATTCCAGCATTGATTAAAGACATCCCATAGGTTTTCTTTACTTGTGGGATCATGTTTCACTTTTTCTCGTTTCAAATGATCCCATAAATTCTCAATGAGATTTAGGTTCCGAGATTGAGAAGGAAAATCCATAACAACCAGATCACCTATCTCTTGCTTCCTTCTTAAATAATTTTTACACGTGTCAGAAGTGTGTTTCGGATCTTTATCCCGCGTTGCAAGACAAATCCCCTTCCACACAACCTTAAGCTAGATGGTATAGCTAGTCTTTGAAGGATGCAGTGATATTTTTGTTTCTTAAAAATTATTTAATAATTACGGAGCAAGAGAAAGGTAATTTGGTTGTTATGGATTTCCTCCTCAACATCCAGACCTAAAATCCTAAATCTTATTGAGAATTTATGGGAACATTTGAAACGAGAGAAAGTAAAATATAATTTCACAAGTAAACACAACCAACCTACGGGATGGCGTTGATCAATAATGCTGGGAAAACCTTAAATCATCAATACCGATTAGAAAACTTGTTGAATCTATGGCTATGCCAGGAAGAGTTGAAGCTGTTTTAAAATCAAAAGGAGGTCACACAAAATATTAAAATAATGTTCACTTGGCTGGCTAATATAGTATAATCAATTCCAACGTTGAAGTAAATCCTTACTCGACGCACATATATCGACGCACATATACTGTATATCAATAAAAGGCAAAATCGCATTGATATATATATTATGAGAAAAATATTGACAGAAAAACAATTCATTACTATATATCATTCAATCATTGAACCACACTTTGATTACTGTTGCATTATTTGGGACTCTATGAGTGATACACTGATGAGTGGTACAACACGGTGACTCAACATGTGGTACAACACGGTGACTCAACGCATCCAAACATGCGCAGAGCGTAATGGGGCCAGACATATATATATATATATATATATATATATATATATATATATATATATATATATATATATATATATATATATATATATATATATATATATATAGCGATTACATCAAGTATTGCGCTTACTTATATTACCTAATTAGCCTAGGCTATTTATCTTTACAACAATTGTGATATTACTTTATCCTAACCCACCCTGTTAACTTTTTCTGTGGGTGAAAACTAGAGCGTCCTGAAAGCACCCACGACTTTCGGCAGAGCGTTAACAGATTCTTTTCAAATGAATCCGTTGTGAGAATCTAACCCATGATCTCACATGTGAAAGGCTCTTTCTCTGACGACTGCGGCACCGCAGTGATCCTAGTTGAAATAAGATGCTGGCCAGTTCACCTCGAATTTCTCTTTTCAGAATAAGATTTCGAAGTCTATACCACTCTGTCTCACGATTTATTACCTGATGCGGAAGTACCTCACAATTTGTTAAAACCTTTTAACTATCGCATCATTATTTATGTCTCAATGTTCCAAATTTCCAGTGTTTCCTGTCATACATACAACCCCACTGCATTGGTTTTATTATAAGTAAACGCATGCTTTGAGGGAGATTAGTGATTAAATGTCCCCGCAAACCGAGGGAGGTTTAGTAAGGTTTAGTAGCGAGAAGGTTTAGTTAAAGTTTAGTAACTGAGGGCGTATCCAGAGGGACTTTTAGTAAACCTCCCGAGGTTTGCGGGGACATTTAATCACTAATTTCCCTGAAAGTATGCGTTTAGTTTGTAAATACATGGTAGCCAAGGGAATCGCGCGTGGTGTGTTGCCTGTTTTGAATGCTGTTTGATTGTCTTATGATTGTGGTACGAACGGTTTTCATATATACGCACGCGCAGAAACACATCTCCGTGTTCATTCCTTTTAGGCATGCGCATAAACGGAATTTTCTCCCAAGATTGCGGAATAAAAG